TTTAGTAGATGATTTACGGCGCTCGAAACTGCATAAGGTCATATGAGCTTTATTTTGTTTTGTTTTGTTGTTATGTTCTTTTGTTTATCGGTTTTTTTGTTGTTGTTTTTTGTTGTTGTTGTTTTTTTTTGGGGGGGTGGTTCTTTTTGTTTGGTTCACTATTCACAGGTATTCGAAGCGTGGCAGAGTCATTCGATGCTGTGTGATTTTTGAGGGACAAAAGGATTAAAGACTCAAAAGTATAATTTGTTCGTGGCCGATACCCTGATGCAGGGTGAAAAAGGCAGTGATGATGATGATAAAACATATTATATGGAGAGAGCATTATTGTATCTACAATCAGTGCGGTAAATACAAAAATACTTTATACTTAATGGATATGAGACAGAGTGATAAGGGGAACTTAAAAAGGGTATTGACAAGCGAATGTTACTAGGACTTACACACTAAAAAAAGAAAAAAAGAAAAAAAAAATTCGCGCAAAGTATTCGAAGAGCACGAATAGTGACTTAACACGCTTCGAATCATCGACGAAGTTTCGTTTTTCCTCAAAAAGAGTCAAAATCACACTTGACTAACGAACAGCGGCAGCGGATCGCGCGGTGATCCGACGCGTAAAATTTTGGATTCCGCGGCAGGCAGGCACGGCAGGGCAGGGCAGGAAGGGAGGAGGAGACGGAAGAGAAGAGAAGGGAAGGGAGGAGCAGTGAGGGAGCGGAGACTAGAGAAACGCCGCACCGTCAAACGAAAACCGCGCGCGTCCACAGTGACGGACGGACGGACAGGCCTCACTCGGACCTTCGCAGGTCAGTCAGTCAGTCTTCGGAATCTGTTCCTCGCTGGCACTGGTGGTGATAGGCCAGACAGGCAGATCCCCACACAGGAGGAGCTGCGAGAGTGTATCGGATAAGGAGACACAGAAAGAGAGACAGAGAGAGAGAGAGACAGAGAGAGAGAGAGACAGAGAGAGAGAAGGGAAAAGAGACACACAGAGACAGAGAGTCATACAGAGAAAGAGATACAGAGAGAGACATAGAGAGACATAGAGGCAGAGATACAGAGAGACACAGAGAGACAGAAGCAGAGACATAGACAGACACAGAAGCAGATATACAGAGAGAATTAGAAGCAGAGATACAGAGAGACACAGAAGCAAAGAGACAGAGATACACGGAGAGATACAGAGCGAGTATCATCACCCGCGTACGGCAAGACTTTAGTGCGCGTGTAAACACAGCTTACTATACTAATATTAACTGGTTTGAGTGGTGACACCTGTACTGGAGAGACAAGAGAGAACAGTGACGTCACACCATCGTTCCCAACCTCAGAAGCTCTCGTTGGGCATTGTATGGACAATACTTATCGAGGTGAGTGCAATACACATCAAGAATTATATTTTTCAGGTTTTATTTTTTCTTATTCATGTAATTATTTATTTTCTCTAAGGATTTATCTAGGCTTATTTTCGTTTTCACTGTTATTTATTTAATCTATTCATTCATTGTTTATATTATTTTCATTTTATTTTTATTACATTCATTTATTTATTAATTTACCTATTCTTTGAGGGGGGGGGGGAGCACAAGTACAGATGTAGATGGATTTCGATTGGTGTAGTGTAGTGGTAAGGCAATGATTTCTAACCACAGCTTCAGTGGGATATTTTGTTTTAAAAAATATTTGAGGTAGGCGCGATATTCAAAAAACAGAAAACTTTTAATAACTTGATATTAACTTTAACACTGATAATAACTTATTCCATCATATATATATATATATATATATATATATATATATATATATATAACACAAATAATAATTTATACCATCATATGTCAGTAATAGTAAATTATCCCAGCACATGGTACGAACAACAATTTAACCCTCAAAACAATAATATTAACCTATTTAATCCATCATGTTTTACACTAATAATAATTCATATCCCAATATCTGTCATGTCACTCTCAAATTTTAAGCTTATCCCAGGGTAAGACACTGACAATTACATACTGTATTCCTCAAAGGACTCTAATAATAGTTTATTCCATCATATTATGACAGCAAAAATTATGTACCCCATAAGACACTGTTTATAACGCATTCCTCAAAATGGAACTAACAATTATTTGGTTGCTTTTTAGAACAAGGGGGCTATCCCGATAAATGCAGTTTTGAGATAATCGAAGGTAAAAGTTTTTGCCCCTTGTTTAGTTTCTTTGAAAGACAAGGAGAGTTTTCTCTATAACCAAACAAATATACACACCAATGAAACCAAACTTCTCCTATATGTAGGGCAATGCCCACTTTTGGTGTTGGTCAAGATTCCTGGAACCCTCCCCGCCGAAATCTGGGCTAGCCCGCTTCTCCTTAAAAGCGACAATTTATTCCCTTATAAAAGTATGACGACACTATTTATAACTTATCTCAGCATAATCTAACCATGATAACACGTATTTTTTCTCATAAGATACTAACGATCCTCTACCTCAGGATTACAACGTTCATTCAGTCAGCTCGGTGCCTAGTTTTGTGAAATTTGACGTTTTAAGTTGAGCTTCACAACGTGTCAAGCTTTTTCGAATGCAATTCTTTGAATATATTGATTACGACTCCGAATAATCTTATGATTTCGATAGAGCAGATACAACATAATTAGGATTCCTGATCTCATGATCTCAGTAGCTCAAAACGACAAAAAATGTTAGACAGAACTTTGTAATTCTATGGTAGCGGATTATGTATTCCCATCATATTATTATGACACCAATAATAACTTACCCCAGCATTTTAAGATGCTAGTAAAAACACATACCGTCACAAAACATTACGGATAACTTATCATACCCCAAGACTTTTAACAAATCAAGGACTTAATAACTACATCGTAAGACGTTCATTACTAACCTACTCCATCACTTTATGACACTAATTATGATGAATTATCCATTGCACCTATCCTCAGAAACTGTCATACAAAGTGAGCTGCAACGACCTTAATACAAAACTGCAGTGTTCCTCGTCCAACGCGATACTTTGGAGTCGGTGCCGACACGAGACGGAAAGGTCTGTACCGTCCGGACAATACGCCTGAGTCGGAAACGAAATGACACCGTTGCTTCTGTGACGAGAAAACGCTTCAGGATACTACGACACGATACTGTGGTGTTCCAGCCGACACGACATCGCAAATTATAATATATCGACACGGCATTGCAGGATACATATAAATAAGACATTGCAGGATATATACCGACACGACACCACAGGATATATACCGACTCGACACCACAGGATATATACCGACACGGCACCACAGGATACACAACGACACGATAACGCTGAGTCAGATCCAACTAGACACCACACAAAGTAGTGAGGGGCAGACCACCACTACCCACCCTCTTTTTCTGTTTACCGCTCACGGGGCAGTAACACCATCAGCCAAGACGACTGGACAGTGGTCAAAATGACCCGTCAGCTGTCCCAATAGAAACATTTCCAACTCCAAGCAAGTCTTCCGTCATTGCCAGTCTGACGTCAGCAACGCAACATCTTCGACTCCGTGTATCCCCCCCCCCCCCGACACGCACACACATTACGACATATACATCAGAATAGTCCGCGCCAGATTCGGTCAATTACCAATGACGTATTGTGACGTAATTTAATCAGATTTAATGATTTTCAAATAATGGAATATTAACGTCATAAAGTTCTGACGAGGAGACTCTAATGTGTTGGAAAAAGACGTGAAACTCTTCCCTACAACCGACCAACCAGCGACATGCGGCGTGCGTCCGCCCTGGTCTCTGCCGTCTGCCTGACCTACATAGCTGTGGTCAGCGTGATACAACTCAGCCTCCTGACCACGCCCACGCGCACCGACAATCGCTACTTGGCAATAGAGGACGCCAGCGGCAAGACGACAGCACCGCCGGCGCCAAACAGCCGCCACGACGGCGAGAAGTTTAAAATAAACAGCGGCGGTCGGGAGAATGTGGAGGAGGAGAAAGACAGGCCGGGCCACGCCCTAAACACCGCGGCGGCGCCGAGACGGCGATATGACTCCGCGAAACAATTCAGCGACGCGGATGTTACTTCAGCGGCTTCAGATATGAGACACGGCGGGTCTATCGACTCGGTGTTGTTGCGGAAACTCAGCGAAAACAAGCGGCCGTCAGCCGAGTCCCCCGCCTTTTCTACCGGCGGCTCTGATCTCTACCAGGTGGACAACCCAGCTGCTGTCGCACCACCTGGCGGAACGCCTTACGTCGTGAATCCAGGCCACCCGCCACCCGCCCACGCCGACACAGATGACGTCGTGGCGGCGTCGTATATTCGCGAGAGCCGCGTCATCTTCCGGCCGCTCAGCGACCTGCACGTGTACGCCGCCTACCTCGACGACCGCCTCGCGCCGCAGATCTACGTCAGGATCTTCGCACTCCGCCCCAGCGGCAACGACACGCCGGCGGTGGTTTGCCGCTTTCCCACCAAAGCGGCGGGCGGCGCTACTCAAGAAGAAGAGGAAGAAGACGGTGAAGAAGGCGGCGGCGGAAGAGCGCGAGGTCGCCGCGTGATCAGCGTGACGGCGCGGGCCTACGAGATGTGCGAAAACCACGGCAAGAAATACGGCGGCTGGATCTACTCCTGCCTGCTGCCGCCGCCTGGCGTGATCCGCACTCCGCCCGCCGCCGTCACCATCGCCACCGTCTCGGACAGTGGTCAGACGTATGACGTCATCCAGGCCATGCCTCTAAAGTCTCTCACACCCCAGAACAATACGACAGAATCAAATGAATACCAAACTGCGTTTCCCTGGGATTCTTCGGACAAAAACCGCCGTGATTCTTTGAAGAAAAACCTGGATTTTTCAGACAAAAATATTCCTGCCGGGTTCAGAGGGCGGCAGAAAATAACACGAGACGCCCCAAACACACAGCTCCAACCACCGGTGAGCAGTCGCGACGAGAGGACGTTCCAGAACAACTCGTCCAACTTTTCCCCACCTGCGGGACACACAGCCAATACCACCACCACCAATAACAATAACAGCAGCAACAACGACAACAACTTTCACAACAACAACAACTTTAACAACAACAACAACGCTACAATAGGAGTGTGCGTCCCGCCCTTGTTCGGAGACATCAGCCTACAACGCATCGTCAACTTCCTAGAAATGTGCCGCCTTCTCCAAGCCTCCCGCGTCTTCTTATACATCCACGACCTGCCCAAAGACCTGGTCGTCTTCCTCAGGCACTTCGCCTCCAACCACGCCCACTTTCTCTCCCTCGTCCAATGGGAACTCCCAAAACTGCCGGAGCTCTGGCTCGACCAATCGCCATCTCTCGCCAGCCAGATGCTGTGGAACCGGGGCCAACTGCTCGCGGTGCAGCACTGCCTCTACCAGCACATGCCCGCGTTTGATTGGCTGCTATTTATGGATACTGACGAGATGCTCGTCCCGCACGCAGCGGCCTCGTGGCCCGACCTCGTGCGGCAAGTCCTCGCCGACGCACAGCCGCAAGTCGCCCACGCAGACTCCGTGGCCGCCATCTCCTTCCAGAGCGCGTTCTTCCAACAGGACTTCCAGACCCTGGTGACCAACTCCATTGACTATTTCCAGTACCTTCACCGCACGCGAGACACGAGCTCACGGCGATCCAAGCTCATGGTGCGGCCGAGCAGGGCGTTCGAGGTGGGCATCCACCACCTGAGCAAACCGATCGCCGAGCCGTTCCGTTCCGTGGCCGCGCCGGTGTCGTCCGCTCTGCTGCACCACTACCGGAAGTGCGTCACGGGGAGTGTGCAAGGGGAAGGGGAGCGCATCCAGTGCGAGATTCTCGTCAAGGACGTCGCCATTTTGAAATACGAGCACGAGCTGACGGTGCGGAGCAGGACGGTGCTGCAGGACGCGATGGAGTTCTTTGCGGGGCGCAGCTAGCACACATAATATTCCGCGTGACACACACACATGACGAACACACACATACACACACATACACACACATACACACACATACACACACACAAACACACATACGCACACACATACGCATACGCACACATACACACAAACATACACAAACACACACACACACACACACACACACACACACACACACACACACACACACACACACACACACACAGTGAGCTTTGTCCATTTTCGAACGAACAGAAGCACGTCGATTCGAACACGACAACAGAGAGACAGCGCCAGATAGGGAAAAAACGATTTTGAGTTCGAGTTTGAGAAAACACAAGCACATTGACACAATAGGGGTCATTTAGTGCAGGCAGGAAGCAGGACAGATGGGCAAAAACAACAGTGGGGGGGGAGAAGTAGGAATATATATATATATATATATATATATATATATATATATATATATATATATATACATATATATCCCCCAGTGACGCCCACCCACCACACACATGAAGCGCTAGAAAAAAGCGAGAAAGACATATCCGTTAGAGACTGACCACAAAAGTACGATCCACCAGCGGTATCCTCCAACCATATTGTTTTTGTTTGGTTTTCGGGGGGGGGGGGGGGTTGTGAGTTTTTTTTCTTGTTTTTTTTGTTTTTGGTCTGCTTGAGTGAAGAGAAGCACATCGACACCATAGCGGCTTTCAGTGCAAGGAAAAGGCATGACAAACAAACACAAACAACATACGGAAAAGAAAAGAAGCAGGACCCACTAGCCGTGGCATCTTCCAACAAACACTACCCCAACAATCAAAGAGGAACGTACTAAATTCGAGTGTGTGTGTGAGTGTGCGTGTGTGTCGAATGTCGAAAGAAGCCATAGCCTCGTTTCGACTTGTGACGACAAGGAAATCTTCAGCCGTGTGTATCCCAAATAACGTTCAATCATTTCCATCCAGCAAGGATTACGTCGGAACTTGTTACTTTGCCGTCATTTTCATTGATTCCGTCCACATCTCACAATCCATCCATTGATTATGTTGAAAATGTTGAGTGCATTAAAAAATCCATGATTGTTTTACCTAATGTACCTCGCGCTTTGTACTTTTGGTTTATCTTCAAAGTCATCATGCTTAGTGGGCTGGTTGGCGGGTGTTCTGGTGTGGTTTGCTCCTTCTTTCCTATCAACCATGTATGGTCCTGATCTCTCCTCCTCTTTCTTTTCTTCTCTTTTTGTGTGGCGTTTGTTGCACTCTCTTGTAACACCTCTAATCGTCAGCACTTAATGACATTATTGTGAACGTAACTGGACAGCTCTGAGTTAGTCTAATTTTTTTCTTAATCAACAACTCTTCCCATTCCATACAGGTCTTAAGTTCGCAGACGGCGTCTGTGATAGGTGTTATACCCCCCCCCCCCCCCAATCGAAACGATTTTGATCATTTAGGAGGCGGGCTTCGACCTTGACAGTCGGGCCAATCTGAGCGGAAAGGAATACTTAAGTCCCAGAAGAAAAAAAAACAGAAACTCGATTTTTAAAAATTCCTCCGCATACGGTTATCGAACCCGGGTCATTTGCTTGCGACTGCACAGTGCCTGACCACTATACCACAGACTTCGGTGACATGAGTGACTCGATAGGGCTTATAACAACTTAAAACAACAGCTACGCTGACAGGGAAATAGGATCAACCCAGACCAAAGCACCCTCCAAACGCCTAAACAGGACTTTAGAAATGGCGATTCGAGAGTCAATACAATAGACATCAACTCTTTCAGTTGTATAGCAAGTAGCAAGCCTTCAGCACTCTTCCATTTCAGGTTCTTTAAGTACTCTCTGGATAAATATACACATTTATTTGCTTTAAATACATGTACTAGGATTGTACTTGTACGATAGGATGTTTGCGAGCAGTCTTTCAATTTCAAGATACAGAAGCACATCCCTTTCCTTCGCCGCTGATTGCTTTTTTAAAAATTTTGTTTATAAATTATAATCCGTAGCGGCTGCTGCAATGGGCACCACCGTCTGTCTAACACCTCTTTTTAGACGTCTTCATAATTTAATTTCATTTCCATATTTTCCTCACAAAAACGTGACATTACCTCCGTTTGATAACGTTTTAATTAAATTCCCTTTTTACACCCCATCATCTTCCACACAAGCAGGCAGAAGGAAGCGCAAAAACCTCTGTAAATCAAACAGCAGCCAAAAAAGAACCAAAACCAAAACCAAAAACAAAAACAAAAACTTTCTCGTATGCTGCCTCGCCCTATCATGCGGCTCCCTGCCTCCATCTCGAATCCTCCCCAAAACTTACAACACAAAAACTCGCCATGGTGAGCGAGATCTTAAAGCTCCGTCAGATTACGGAGACCTGCATGCACCGCACACAGCCTTAAAAAAAAATCTACTAAAAACTGAACCAAACTGCGCGCGACCTCCCTCCAGGAAGTCAGAAATATAGAGATATTAATTTTCTCTTCGCGATGCGGGTTATTTAGCGGGGGAAGGGGGGG